GGGAAAGTGCATGTTTTCCGTACACCTACGTCTTAAGGAAAACACTTTGCGAAGAGTTTTGGTTATAAAATATGGAGGGCTTTCTCGCCCTGTGAACTCCAGGATCTGACTTCAAAGTCAGGCATTGGTAGCCTACTTATAATACAATACAAATAAAACCCTGAAACGATTAAATTAGGGACTTAAGTAAGGCTTGGCTAAGACAAGTATCCACAGTTGTGAAAGTGTAAATGTGTTGCAAAACTGATGACCATGGTGTAGAACGAAAAATGATGTTTAGGATCTTAAGGCAGGTCAACGGATACAAAGCATCTCCGGCCGGGCAGAGGGGGGTGTAAAGAGCCGATGGCCTCAGACACTGGGAGAATGATGCCTGCCTCTTTATCAGTGCCACAAAGATCTGTTTAACTCAGCTGTGTATGCTCCCCAAAACACCATGCAAAGAGATAATTTGGATGCATACAAAATATGGTTTCATAGGCTCACCAAATCTCCGTTGGTTTCAACCACCGGTCCTTTTCAGCCTCCGTTGCTGCTGCTGCTGCTGCTGCTGCTGCTTTCAGGCATCCACCGTTAGCGACTCTCGTCGTTCATGGCATGCAGTCACGTTGTCTGAACCTAAACGTGTCTTTTTCACAAACTGCCTCTGGATACAAAGCAAACAAGCAACGGGATTAAAATGGAACTCGGATAACAAAAAAATAGAGGCTAGCGGTTTCAACGTAGCTATTCAAAGAGAGCGGGTACCAGATGCTGAAGAGGCTAAACCTGCTAACCTGCTCGCTGAATAGTAATGAGTGTGGGGCAGTGTCCAATGCAAGAGGAGCACCGAGGGCTGTTCTCCGGGACGGCCCTCCTCAGCGAGCAGGCGGGAGGAGGAGGCGGCGTCGGGTTGCGTCTTCATGGGAGGGACGGTCCTCGTAAACCCCTGTGGCCAACGCTGTTATGCTACTAGCATAAATATACAACTTCCTGTTATGTTATATGTTATATATTTTCACAATTAAAATAGTGTTTGCTTTTCAACCATGAAATCATCACATTAAAGGAAATGTAAAACCATGCAGTATTTTTTGTTTTGTTCATCAAATATTGCTGTAAACCATATCAATTCAATTAAAAAACATTTGAAAAAACACTTTAATATAAATAACGATCTGTCCCATCTTACATTTTTTTACATATTAAAAGCTGATTTTATATTTGCCTAGCCAAACAATGCATGAAAGGATGGTTCTTTATGGGTCTTTATTAACGCCTGCTTCCCATCCAAATCAAATCAAATCAAGTTTTATTTATATAGCACATTTATAAACGATTTTTGGTCGAGCCAAAGTGCTGTACATATCATAAAATTAGCCTACAGTAGAGACACTTTACAGCAAATACAACAGCACAGATTGTTCAGAATATCAGTATGAGAAAAATACGATCCAGATAGCTAGTCTGGATCGTATCAGAAGCTCCACATCTCTGCAAAACAACTGGGCCACTTAATGTAACAGTTTATGTTTAAAATATTAATTATAACTTCAAAAATCTGAGCTTCAGTATTAAACATTTTGAATTGGGTTCATGGAAAAATAGTTTTGTATATTAAAGGGTCAATCTAATCTCATATTTTTGCCTGTATTGAATCCAATCGTGAATAATATAAATACATGTTTAAAAATAAGAGTAGCCTATGCATACCAATTCTAAAATTACAAAAATGTAAACACAATAAATAGAAAGACATTGAAGTGATTTCTGTTGTTGACATGTATCCAAGTGTAACGGAGTTAAAAATGTGTATAAATAATTATTAGTTTATAAATTACGATTTAAAGGCCTATACCCATTAGTTGTTTGTGGCAACTTTACCACTTTTAATTTAACAGATATAACCTCCTAGTAAAGTTAACTCCCCATGTTTATTGTATAATTTGAATACATTCCTCAAAAAAGATATCCAGAAGAGCAAAGCCAGTAGATACAACACGAACTCTGACTCCATGGTTGCACCAAAAAGGTCCACCTTTTAACATTGTTATAATTATTTAAAATGGTTTAATGTTATAATCAGGGCTGCACATAACTGGTGCGCAGGTGCGCATGCGCACCTCCGCCAAAAAAAGAGCACCGGGTCATTTGAAACAAAGCGCATTTGCGTACCCAACATTGAGAGGGGAAAGAGAGGGAGAAGAGAAAATAGAAAATAGAGGAGAGAAGAGAGAGAGAGAGAGAGAGAGAGAGAGAGCGAGAGAGAGAGAGAGAGAGAGAGAGAGAGAGAGAGAGAGAGAGATATAGAGAGAGAAGAGAGAGAGAGAGAGGAGAGAG